TACTACTACGACCACGACCACGACCACGACCACGACCACGACCACGACCGCGACCACTACCACTACCACTACCACTACGACTAGTACTCCCACTACCACTACCACTACCACTACTACTACTACTACTACCACTACAACTACTATACTACTACCACCACTACCACCGAGCAACCGGGGAGCAGAGAGAGGCAAAATCACAGCTTTGGGTGGTCGTGGGCTGCTTTTGTTCTTTGCAAGGCAAAAACACAGTTTTGGGCTGCGAAACTGTGTTTTTGCCTTTCAAAGTAACCAGAATGCCCCACCACCACCCGAAACAGGGATTTTGATTTTTGTCTTTACGACGACGACGACGACTACTACCACTACCAGTACCACCGAGCAACCGTCGAGCAGAGAAAAGCAAAATCATAGTTTCGGGTGGTCGTGGGGCTGCTTTTTGAGCTTAGATAGTGGTGTGGGAACCGGATCCTTGGGGTACCAAGAGTTCTCCAAGGGGATATCGGGATATAGCTCATATTTGTCCATGCGTTTCTAATACTTAGATCTTAGAGGAACAAATGCAGATTCGGTGAAGAAAACAGTCCTTGTTGCCGGGAAAAAAGGTTGGCTGCCAGAGGGGCGTTCGAGACATGGTTGAATCAACCGATGGAGACGTGACATAGCTTGTTATTGGATGGGGAAGTGTGGGCAAGGAACCCCAAAGTGAGTGTTTGCTTGGGTGTGACAGTTGCACTTTTAAGAGGGCCTGACATGTGTCTAGGCTGGCTTTCGTCTCCTCCCTTCTCAGGTTTGTATATGTTTTTTGGTTCGGTCGAATGTTCCATCTTCTGGACATGAAGTCGGGTGCAAGGTAGGTGTCGGGCGCAGGATTCTGTTAGACAGGCTGTCTTTTCATGGTGGGCCAACCAGAGAAAGGTCAACCAGACAATGATTCGCGATGACTTCAGTACGGGCGCAGCGCCCACTAGGTTCTGAAGGCAGAGATGCATGACATATACATGCATGCGCTTGCCGTTGAGTGCGAAGAGGAATGAGGAGTGAGGAGAGGAGGAAGAACGTGTTGGATTGCGAAAGCATCGGATTGAAAGCGGCTAAAGCGTGCACGCGGCTAAAGCGGCTAAAACGTGCTCGTCCGGCTTTCCTCCCCCTTTGTAGACTGTAGACGTTTTGACTACTCTTTAGACTCTGGCTCTGGACCATTCTATTTCGTGTCTTCCCTTTCCCAGCTATGCCTATGTGGTATTTTTCTTGCTTCTGTCTAGCTTTCGCGTCGAAATGCAGAGCAACGTCATGCCATGCAGCGACACGTTCGCTTTTCGGACCTTGGGCTCGTACAGCGACCGACGGGACGGGACTCTCCGCTGGTTTTGGGGGAAGAGGGTGACTTCGTCCTCACAAACCCAGCGCTGCCCGGGAACGAGGCGGCGGCTTGGGCAGCGCCACATGAGAACTGATTTGTGTGTTTCTGATGGCCCTGTTCTTTTTCAGTATCACTGCCGCAGGGAGTTGGTTGGGTTCAACGCAGCTGTTTCATTCGGAAGAGCTGACCAACAAGAGTAAGAGAGCGCTAAACAGAACTCAAAATCTTTCCCTTTGGGGCCGGACATGTGCTCCAATAATACATACTACCCAAACCCTCCATGGGACTAAACCAATTTTCATTGACCCAATTTAATAACGACCTCAACAACCTAAGGTAAATATGCCAGTCTCATGGAATGTTTGGAGTATCAAGTGGTCCCAGAATGTCCTAAACGGCATGGCTTGAGACACACGAGGGTAGGCTTCAATGGTCAAGTTTGCCTCAAGTCCTTGCAGTGTGGAACACCCTGAATATCGCGAAAACAAATCAATATTAAATGCATTTGTTTGTATATGGGTTTTCACCAAACAGTTTACTTTTAGGGGTTCTCAATTCTTTCTTAAGAGGTGTCTCGGTGTCTGCCCTTTCTGTCACTGCTGGTGTCCACCCTTTTCCGCTGGCCATGCAGAATTTCCATTCATTTGTTTCCCAGGTTCGGTGCCTGTACTGCTGGTGTCCGCCCTTCTCCGCTGGCCATGCAGAATTTCTATTCGTTTGTCTTCCGCTGTCACGGCTGGTGTCCGCCCTTCTCCGCTGGCCATGCAGCATTTCTATGAATTCATTTGTCTTCCACTGTCACTGCTGGTGTCCGCCCTTTTCCGCTGGCCATGCAACATTTCAATTTCTATTCTTTGTCTCCCATGTTATTCTTTTACTTTTCTCTCCCGAGTTTGGTGCCTGCACGGCTGTCCGCCCTTTTCCGCTGGCCATGCAGCATTTCTTTGCATTTGTCTCCCAGATGATCTCTTTACTTTTGTCTCCCAGGTTCGGTGCCTGCAATGCTGGTGTCCGCCCTTTTCCGCTGGCCATGCAGCATTTCTATTCATTCATTGGTCTCCCTGTCACTTCTGGTGTCCGCAATTTTCCTGTGGCCACGCTGCATGTCTATTCATGTGTCTCCCACTGTCACTGCTCGTATCCGCCCTTTTCGTGGTGCAGAGTCTCTTCCTTCTTCCAATCCCTCGTAGCACAGAATCCTTCTTAAAGCCCTCGTAGCGCTCGTAGCACAGAATCCTTCCTATGAGCCCTCGTAACACAGAGCCCTTCTTATTAAAGGCCTCGTAGCACAGGACTGAACCCTTCTTATTAAAGGGCCTTGAAGAAGGATGACTGCAAAATCACAGTTTCGGGAGGGCCTTGAAAAAGGATGACTGCAAAATCACTGTTTCGGGTGGTTGTGGGGCTGTTTTTGTTCTTTGAAAGGCAAAAGCACAGTTTGGGGCTGCGAAACTGTGATACTACTACTACTACTACCACTACTACCACTACCACTACCACTATGACTACCACTACCACTATGACTACCACTACCACTACCACTACCACTACCACTACCACTACCACTACCACTACCACTACCACTACCCGCCCGTCATCACCCAAGCCAAGTTGCTGCACCAGGTGGAACTAACGAGGGGAGACGTTATTTTCCAAACCGTATATAACGAGGCGAGGTGCTAAACCCTGGGATGCGAATTCCAAAAAGAGGGAGACGAGGTAAGAGTTAATGTAATTTGCGGAGATGATGTTCAGTCTGCCGGTTTATCAGCCAAACAACAGCTGCATATCATCTCTCAAGCTTCCGGACTCATCGGCTGGATACGGTTGAGGTCTTCTGCTGCATTCTTGATGGATCACAACGCTTTTGCCAGAGATGCTCGGCTTCGAGGGGTTTTCTCTAGAAATCGATTTGACTCGGCGATGCGAGGGCAGATGGCCCCGCCACAAGTGCAGTCTGGAGCCGTTTTTGCGTAGCAGACAGCATAGATGAGGGTTCCACCAAGTCTAGGATTTCAAAGCTTTGGGTATGCAGAAAGTGTGTTGGTTGGAACTAACGGTTGTCCCATCCATCCTTGCGTGCACTTGGGCCTGCACGTCTTGTTTGGGAATTCATTTAGGGAAACCCGCTCTGACGGGTCTGCCCGAGGATACCACCATCCTCTCTGGGGCGGCGGGGCTCCAAGCCTGCGAGCGATTTTGGTCCGAATCGTTGATGAAGAAACCTATCAGAAGAACAAAAGAAAGGTCCAATGTTTTTTAAAGGTCTTCAAAAGAAATAGTTATAAAATATAGATTTAAGAAAAGACACGAAAAAAGAGAAGCCCATGAAAAGGGTCATAACCTCTTGGGATGGGCATGATAAAATGTGTTTGTCCATGTTTCGCGCTGTTTTGGTATGAGCTGGCAAATGCCCCGGATGTAGATCGTGGAGGCGCTTTCCAAAACTGGGGAAACTCAAGGGACGCACTTTTGAAACCAACCCTCCAATCGTCCGTTGAGACCAGGACTTGACGGACTGGTTTTTCGCGATGTCGAGCCAATGACTAATACATTGGCAGAATTAACATTGCCCTGAAGAAAGATGAGGGATTTAACAAGAGGATGTGTCTTGCATTGTGTTATATAATATATGTCAGGCTGCAATTGTGGCTGGGCCACCTTTGCAATTGACAGCGAGTTGCTGTTTAGATTAACAGCACGGCAAAATGCCCAAAACATGACTAGAATGCTTAAACTTGTTCAAGGACCAGTATGTGCCTCACAGCAAAGCCCCACAGGTAGGGTAGTCAGTTGTCACCTCCGATACTGCGGCCTTTCCCTCTGAACGATACAGGAAGCTTCTTCTTTCCATAACCTATTCCGCAGGTTCCTATTTGTGGATTGTAGACCGCAAATTGCTGACGAACATCGTACAATGAAAAATCCCAGAGGGACATGGCCAAAAGCCTTCTGAGATGGAAGTTCACCCTGGACAGCGACTGCTCAAAAATTGTACCAACGTTCGGTGTGCAGTCTTTGATCAGTCCTGACAGATAGCCACTGAGAATTGATGGAGAAGACGGCCGATTTGGTGGAAGACCTGACAGTTCTGAGTGAACAGTTTCTGGTGACTGGAGCTTCAAACTTTTTCTTTTCATACATAGGTTTTTTGGAAGCAAACATGAATGCGTTCTGAAGCAGTGTTACCACAGAAATTTGATCTGACGGCCGCACGGCAGGCTGTTGCAAGTCAGTACTTCATCTATGCACAGGCGGGTCACCTTCTCCGAAAAGAATTCCTTGCTGCGAACAGCTTTGTGATGCGAGGTTGCTTTGGGCGGCCTGGGCGGTTCTAAGCTTCTTCAGAACAT